GTTGTTGTTTAAGATTTGCTACTTGGAACAAAAAGTTCCAAGTAGCACGGGCTATGGTGAGCCCGTCTGCGTGGAGAAGAACTGCTTCACCACGTTAGACAAAAGAAAGTGTTGGCCAGCATCGTGTACGGGTATATGGCCCCGTCTCTGCCACGAAAAAGGACAAGACCAGGGGCCAGATTCACGAAGCAGTTACGCAACCACTTACGAACGTGTACATCTTTCCTCAATCTTTGACGGCTTTGGTTACAATTATTAAACAATTTACAAGCATGAAAACTTGCCAATCAACTGTTGTTATTGTTATAAACAGCCTCCTGGTGCTTCGGAGCTCATTAACTGTTTAATAATTGTAAACAAAGCCGCCATAGATTGAGAAAAGATGTACAGGTTCGTAAATGCTTGCGTAACTGCTTCGTGAATATGGCCCAAGGCCATTATCAGGGGGGAGGGGGTGTGAAGCGCCAAGCCATTAAGACTATATAGCACTTGGAAGGGGTCAGGATAAAGATTTGGGATGGGACGGGGGGAAGGAATTGTGCCCAACCACTTGGATGGTCGGGGATTGAACGCCGACCTGCATGAAGCGAGATGTTGTTTTATTCCTCTGAGCAGGAATAAAACAGGGTCTGGGCAGGGTGCGGCTCGCCCGTAGACTGTGTCTTAAGCTGGGCAGGGTGTGGCGCGCCCGTAGACTGTGTCTTAAGCTGGGCAGGGTGTGGCGCGCCCGTAGACTGTGTCTTAAGCTGGGCAGGGTGTGGCGCGCCCGTAGACTGTGTCTTAAGCTGGGCAGGGTGTGGCGCGCCCGTAGACTGTGTCTTAAGCTGGGCAGGGTGTGGCGCGCCCGTAGACTGTGTCTTAAGCTGGGCAGGGTGTGGCGCGCCCGTAGACTGTGTCTTAAGCTGGGCAGGGTGTGGCGCGCCCGTAGACTGTGTCTTAAGCTGGGCAGGGTGTGGCGCGCCCGTAGACTGTGTCTTAAGCTGGGCAGGGTGTGGCGCGCCCGTAGACTGTGTCTTAAGCTGGGCAGGGTGTGGCGCGCCCGTAGACTGTGTCTTAAGCTGGGCAGGGTGTGGCGCGCCCGTAGACTGTGTCTTAAGCTGGGCAGGGTGTGGCGCGCCCGTAGACTGTGTCCTGGACTGGGTCAGGGTGTGGCGCGCCCGTAGACTGTGTCCTGGACTGGGTCAGGGTGTGGCCCGCCCGTAGACTGTGTCTGGACTGGGTCAGGGTGTGGGGCGCCCGTAGACTGTGTCCTGGACTGGGTCAGGGTGTGGGGCGCCCGTAGACTGTGTCTGGAGCTGGGCAGGGTGTGGGGCGCCCGTAGACTGTGTCTGGAGCTGGGCAGGGTGTGGCGCGCCCGTAGACTGTGTCTGGAGCTGGGCAGGGTGTGGCGCGCCCGTAGACTGTGTCTGGAGCTGGGCAGGGTGTGGCGCGCCCGTAGACTGTGTCTGGAGCTGGGCAGGGTGTGGCGCGCCCGTAGACTGTGTCTGGAGCTGGGCAGGGTGTGGCGCGCCCGTAGACTGTGTCTGGAGCTGGGCAGGGTGTGGCGCGCCCGATTGCTTGAAGAGCAGACTTTGAATCGCAGAATATTATTCCTCCTCCAATGTTTTTTAATGTGCTGCTCTTGGAAGATCGACAGCAAGAACCTCATACTCCCAATTATAAATGACCTAATTGATGCACAGAGTAAAGGGCCTCGAATCTCCTTTGTATGGATACCTTCACACATAAATATAACCCATCATAATGAGACAGACATTGCAGCCAAATTAGCGTGTAACAAGTTTGAAGTTGAATTAGATCTAGGTATCCCCATCTCTGCTGTCAAAACTGTATTGGTCCAAACATTCAGATCTGATAGGAAAGAACTTACTGACTCCCAACGACCTGAAAGTACTAGTATAAAAAGCTATGATTTGTTCAGATCTGAAACCTACATCTATGGACAGCACAAAACGTCCACTAGACTGTGCGACACAGTGGTTGCAAGGATCAGGTTGGGTTACCGTTACCTGTGGCAGGTGGCTGCAGGTGACGGGTCTCCCAATCCTGAGCACTCCAGTTGCAAACTCTGTGAGCAGGAACTACGGCATGATCTCCCGCACTACATCACTGAATTCCCAGTTATTAGACCTTTCAGACCAGTTGGCATGAGGTACCTGGAGCTATGCAATTACTTTATTCACTCTCGTATTCTTGAAGATATCCTCACAGTATACCCAAAATTTGCCAGTGCAGGCTACTAAACACATGGCACTGTATGACTAACCATCCTGCGAGATGGGGACTTGTATTACCACTGCTACCTTATTCAATCTTGTGGTGTTGATATCCTCAAAATGCATCCGGAGTCTGCCAGTGCAGACCGCTTATCACATGCCTCTGTATGACTAACCATCCTGTGTGATGGGGATTTTATAGCATCACCTAGTTAGCTTTTTTGACACACTGTACTCCACTTCATATAGTCTAGGGTAGCTGCACTAATGCAGATGTACCTAATATGTTAATAATAAAAAAAAAAAGTGGCCCGTCCGTAGACTGTGTCCTGGACTGGGTCAGGGTGTGGCGCGCCCGTAGACTGTGTCGTGGGCTGGGTCAGGGTGTGGCGCGCCCGTAGACTGTGTCCTGGACTGGGTCAGGGTGTGGCCCGCCCGTAGACTGTGTCGTGGGCTGGGTCAGGGTGTGGCGCGCCCGTAGACTGTGTCCTGGACTGGGTCAGGGTGTGGCCCGCCCGTAGACTGTGTCGTGGGCTGGGTCAGGGTGTGGCGCGCCCGTAGACTGTGTCTGGAGCTGGGCAGGGTGTGGCGCGCCCGTAGACTGTGTACTCACCTAATTGTGCTTGCGGGGGTTGAGCTTTGGCTCTTTGGTGCCGCCTCTCAACTGTCAATCAACTGGTGTACAGATTCCTGAGCCTATTGGGCTCTATCATATCTACATTTGAAACTGTGTATGGAGTCAGCCTCCACCACATCACTTCCTAGTGCATTCCATTTATTAACTACTCTGACACTGAAAAAATTCTTTCTAACGTCTCTGTGGCTCATCTGGGTACTAAGTTTCCACCTGTGTCCCCTTGTTCGTGTCCCACCCGTGCTGAAGAGTTTGTCTTTGTCCACCCTGTCAATTCCCCTGAGAATTTTGTAGGTGCTTATCATGTCTCCCCTTACTCTTCTGTTTTCCTGGGATGTGAGGTTCAGCTCCTTTAGCCTTTCCTCGTAGCTCAATCCTCTCAGTTCCGGGACGAGCCTGGTGGCATACCGCTGAATCTTCTCTAACTTTGTCTTGTGCTTAATTAGGTATGGACTCCAGGCTGGAGCTGCATACTCCAGGATTGGTCTTACATAAGTGGTATACAGGGTTCTGAAAGATTCCTTACACAAGTTTCTAAAGGCAGTTCTTATGTTGGCCAGTCTAGCATATGCCGCTGATGATATTCTTTTGATGTGGGCCTCTGGGGACAGGTTCGGTGTGATATCAACCCCCAGATCCTTCTCTCTATTTGACTCTTGCAGGATTTCACCTCCCAGATGATACCTTGTGTTCAGCCTCCTGCTCCTTTCGCGTAATTTCATCTCCTTACACTTTCCCGAGTTGAACTTCAGCAGCCATTTTCTAGACCATTCCTCCAGTTTATCCAGGTCATCCTGTAGTCTCTGTCTATCTTCATCCGTCTTGATTCTTCTCATAATTTTTGCATCATCAGCAAACATCGAGAAGAATGAGTCTATACCCTCTGGAAGATCGTTCACATATATTAGAAACAGGATGGGTCCAAGTACTGAGCCCTGTGGGACTCCGCTGGTGACATCTCGCCACTCTGATGTCTCCCCCGTCACCGTTACTCGCTGTTTCCTGTTGCTTAAGTACTCCCTTATCCACTGGAGCACCTTCCCTTTTACTCCTGCCTGTTGCTCCAACTTTTTTAACAGCCTTTTATGGGGTACTGTGTCAAAGGCTTTTTGGCAATCCAGGAAAATGCAGTGTATGTACACTTTGTTGTTGCTATAGATTCAGCGTACTCGGAACAAGTTCCAAGTAGCACGGGCTAGGGTGAGCCCGCAGTGGACTTACCTGGCGCCCTGTGTGTGTACACGGGAGTGCTGGATATTTACGTGGATTCGAATCGTTTCCTTGGGAGGGTCTTCATCCTCACTTCACCCAAAGAATTACGCATTGGTCTTGAGTGTCGGTCCTTAGAGCCAGGAGTAGCTGACCTTGTTTTGGACTACGTTAGGGCTTAATGCTTTCAAAGCTGGAGTCTCTCTCTCTCTCTCTCTCTCTCTCTCTTCTCTCTCCCTCTCTTTTCTGCCCGGGTCTTGTGGGCTTCCGCCTCTAATTGTCCCCAGGGGCCAGATTCACGAAGCGGTTACGCAAGCACTTACGAACGTATACATCTTTCCTCAATCTTTGACGGCTTTGGTTACATTTATTAAACAGTTTACAAGCATCAAAACTTCCCAATTAACTGTTGTTACTGTTATAAACAGCCTCCTGGTGCTTCGGAGCTCACTAACCGTTTAATAATTGTAAACAAAGCCGCCAATGATTGAGAAAAGATGTACAGGTTAGTTAGTACTTGCGTAACTGCTTCGTGAATCTGCCTCTGGTTGATACCTGCTTGATGGGGTTCTGGGAGTTCTTCTACTCCCCAAGCCCGGCCCGAGTCCAGGCTTGACTTGTGAGAGTTTGGTCCACCAGGCTGTTGCTTGGAGCGGCCCGCAGGCCCACATGCTCACCACAGCCCGGTTGGTCCGGCACTTCTTTTAGAAAACTATCTAGTTTTCTCTTGAAGATGTTCACGGTTGTTCCGGCAATATTTCGGATGCTCGCTGGGAGGATGTTGAACAACCGCGGACCTCTGATGTTTATACAGTGTTCTCTGATTGTGCCTATGGCACCTCTGCTCTTCACTGGTTCTATTCTGCGTTTTCTTCCATATCGTTCAATCCAGTACGTTGTTATTTTACTGTGTAGATTTTGGACCTCAGGTTTGTACGATAATGGTAACGCAGAAACCACTTTACACATTTAGACGTTTCGCACAACGCAAGTACGTGTACGTGCTGTATGTGGCTCCGTGCACGTGTGTCCGGGCCGGGAGGCAGTGTACGTGTTATCATACCTGAGGGTAAAGGGGGACTTAACCACTAGTTGCTGGAGCGAACTCACACCTATGTAAATAAAAAAAATGAATACTGGGTGTAAGGAGTGATTAATAAGGACGCTATATGAAAACTGGCGTAATGATCGGTCCCAATGGTCCCAATGGTCCCAATGGTCCCAATGGTCCCAATGATCTTGGGCGCCATTGATGCGTCCTCAGGAGCGACCATGTGTGTAGTGACGAAGCAAGCTGCGTCAATTGACAGTGAGTGACGGTATTCCACTTCATTAAAAATAAAAAAAGGACTTGAGTTACCATACTTGGGAGTTTTGTTTATGAGATTGCAATTACGCGTGGAATTGATTTCTGAGATCACTTGTCGTTTAGGTCATTTGTATGGGGGGGACTAGTTTATTTTAGCATTTATTAATATCGTTCATTTATTCCTGATGATTGTGTGATTGGTGTGATTGGTAACACCCCACCCCCCCCCCCCTCCCCAGTCTCTCTCTCTCTCTCTCTCTCTCTCTCTCTCTCTCTCTCTCTCTCTCTCTCTCTCTCTCTCTCTCTCTCTCTCTCTCTCTCCATTCGTCCTTAAACCCCCCTCCTCCCACCCCCCCTCCCCCTCAGTACACACACGCACACCTGAGCATCGTGGGGACACACACACCTGTGGCCACACCAACAGGTGTCACATGTGTGTGCTCCTCTTTACATATCTGGCAATATCTGGATGTCACTGGTGGCGCTCCAAGCTCCAAGGCACATTTTCCTCGCGCACTTTTTATCTCCGGTTATAATCAGTTTGCGAATTATCTTTCACATTTACGTAACTTTGTGAGTTTCTGCTTTAGGTGCCTCTTATCTTTTATATTTGTATATGGTTAAAATTAACATTATATATATATATATATATATATATATATATATATATATATATTTATATATATATATATATATATATATATATGAAGTGTCCCTTCTCTCAGGCTGTGGGTCCCTATAATTGCACCAGAGGTGATACCCACTATATATATATATATATATATATATATATATATATATATATATATATATATATATATATATATATATATATATATATGTCGTACCTAGTAGCCAAAACGCACTTCTCAGCCTACTATGCAAGGCCCGATTTGCCAAATAAGCCAAGTTTTCATGAATTAATGTTTTTTCGACTACCTAACCTACCTAACCTAACCTAACCTAACTTTTTCGGCTACCTAACCTAACCTAACCTATAAAGATAGGTTAGGTTAGGTTAGGTTAGGTAGGGTTGGTTAGGTTCGGTCATATATCTACGTTAATTTTAACTCCAATAAAATAAAATTGACCTCATACATAATGAAATGGGTAGCTTTATCATTTCATAAGAAAAAAATTAGAGAAAATATATTAATTCAGGAAAACTTGGCTTATTAAGCAAATCGGGCCTTGCATAGTAGGCTGAAAAGTGCGTTCTAGCTACTAGGTACGACATATATATATATATGAAGTGTCCCTTCTCTCAGGCTGTGGGTCCCTATAATTGCACCAGAGGTGATACCCACTATATATATATATATATATATATATATATATATATATTATATATATATATATATATATATATATACATATACATATATATATATATATATATATATATATATATATATATATATATATATATTATGATGGGACGTATTGTATTTATTATTGAATATGTAAGTTATTAGGGCCACTATTGAGGCACTGTGATGGGATCCAACTTGTGGCTCTGGACATATAGTCAGCAGTGTTTGATCTATTAACATTACTCCTTCTATAAATGAATAATTCACTCTGAATTTTGTAAACAAAGTCAGTTATAGACGCGCAACCATTGTATTAATTCAGTTTTTTCTTTCATTTTAAATGCAGATACTTGTATGTCTGATGATGAATGTATTCACTTCAAATCAGTATAGAATGAAGGGGAGATAAATTTTTGTATCAGAAAATGAGAAAGACCCTCTTATTTGCAATAAGACCTGCAAATAAGAAAGACCCTCTTATTTGCAATAAGACCTGGAAAATAAGAAGATGTGGAAGCCACCTCCATCCACAACTTCAAGGCCAGAGTCGACAAAAGAATTTCAACCGACTGGTTGAAATCTCACAAGTCAAGCCTGGCCCCGGGCCGGGGGTTTGGGGAGTAGAAGAACTCCCAGAACCCCATCAAGCAGATGAGGTGTGTTGCAGAGTGAGGGAGAGTGTGGGAAGATGTGTGTGCAGGAGGAAGGTGTGTGAAGGGATAGGGAGATAGGTATGTTGGACTATTAAGAAAAAGTGTCATTTAATGTAATACCTTGAACATAATAGGTCCCCAAAGGACCCAACCATTTTGCCTTCACTTAACTAACCAGTAACTCACTTAGTGCCAACCCTACACATCCCCCCCCCCCTCAGTAGCAAGGGCTAGATTCACGAATCAGTTTCGCACGCACTTACGAACCTGTACATCTTTTCTCAATCTTTGGCGGCTTTGTTTACAATTATTAAACAGTTAATGAGCTCTGAAGCACCAGGAGGCTGTTTATAACAATAACAACAGTTGATTGGCAAGTTTTCATGCTTGTAAACTGTTTAATAAATGTAACCAAAGCCGTCAAATATTGAGGAAAGATGTACACGTTGGTAAGTGCTTGCGTAACTGCTTCGTGAACCTGGCCCCTGGAGTTTCCTGTATCATCCCCATTGCATTCATAATTAATTTGTTATTATTATGAATAATTTTTGTAATGCTTGTGTCCAATAAAAGGTTGTCATGTGGTATGTTATTGTTGACGCTGTGTGTTGGGAGGAGTCCTTGCCCTATATGATGTGGAGGCAGCAGCAGCACCAGCAGCAGCAGCAGCAGCAACACCAGTAGCAGCAACAGCAACAACAGCAACAGCGGCAGCAGCAGCAACAGCAACAACAGCAACAGCGGCAGCAGCAGCAACAGCAGTAACAGCAGCAACAGCAGCAGCAGCAGCAGCAGCAACAGCAGCAGCAGTAACAGCAGCAGCAGCAGCAGCAACAGTAGCAGCAGTAACAGCAGCACCTGCAGCAACAGTAGCAGCAGTAACAGCAGCAGCAACAGTAGCAGCAGTAACAGCAGCAGCAGCAGCAGCAGCAACAGTAGCAGCAGTAACAGCAGCAACAGTAGCAGCAGTAACACCAGCAGCAGCAGCAGCAGCACCTGCAGCAGCAGCAACAGCAGCAGCAGCAGCAGCAGCAACAGCAGCAGCAGCAACAGCAGCAGCAGCAGCAGCAACAGTAGCAGCAGTAACAGCAGCAACAGCAGCAGCAGCAGCAACAGTAGCAGCAGTAACAGCAGCAGCAGCAACAGCGGCAGCAGCAGCACCAGCAGCAGCAGCAGCAGCAGCAACAGCAGCAGCAGCAGCACCAGCAGCACCAGCAGCAACAACAGCAGCAGCAACAACAGCAGCAGCAGTAGCCTCGCTCCACCAAGCCCTCCACACTCTCCTCACGTGGTTGACTCAAGTGGTCAAGGTCCCCCTTGAACCTTTGTAGTGTGAAGTCTTCCTCTTTAATACAATATCGTATGTCGTGCTCACTTACATGGTAACTTGTACACCTTGACGGTCTTCAACATCTTGTGTAATTTGATCATCATTAACCCAACCACTTGGGATGGACGGCAGAGCGACGGTAGAGCTTCATGCAGGTCGGCGTTCAATCCCCCGACCGTTCCAAGTGGTTGGGCACCATTCCTTCCCCCCGTCCCATCCCAAATTCTTATCCTGACCCCTTCCCAGTGCTATATAGGCTAATGGCTTGGTGCTTTCCCCTGATAATTCCCTCCCTCTGACACAGAAAATGTACTTTGTGATAACCCCTGACACAGAAAACGTTCTGTATGATAACCTCTGACACAGAAAACGTTCTGTATGATAACCCGTGACAGAAAACGTTCTGTATGATAACCCCTGACACAGAAAACGTTCTGTATGTAACGTTTGAAATTTTCCCATGCCTCATTTGAAGGCCTAGTTTCGAACTATGCCTATTCATTTATTGCTTCCCATTGACGGAAAAATTAAAAGTATATTCAGCTAATCGAGCTTCCCCCCCCCCCCTAAGCCTACGACCTTTCCTAGGATGTATTCCAGAAAGTGAGAATTCTTATATCAGAATCTTATTTTTTGTGTATTCAAATGGTCAAGTTTTGTTAGTTTTTGATCCGATTTGCATTCAACCTGTCTTGTTACAAATTACGTGTGAATTTGTCCATTTGTCCGAAAATGGACGTAATTTGAAAATAAAGAATAACGAAAAATACATTTTTGATTTTTTGTTTCCAAAGCAGCAAGTTAAGGGTCCTCTGGTAGGTACGGAGGGCAGGAAGTTCTCCTAAGGTTTCAAAACGTCATGAAAACTGTTAATTGAAAGTTTCCTCTCATAACCTAATAGCCTAAGCCAGAGGACCCAAAAAACAGAAAACGGGACAGAGTACGTCACTCTCGTCAGCCGATTTCATTTCCAATTACGTCCATTTTTGGCCATAGCGCGCATAGGAGCGAAAAGCGACGTTATTTTAAGAGGACAGGTTGGTTAGTGGGTGTCCGTTGGGGAGATGCTATAGAACCTCTACAAATGTATTTATATTAGTTTTTGTTAATAACATTTTTTTGTTCTTTAAAAATTTCACGTAGATTAGGAATATATTGAGAACAATCCGAGAAGTAATTGTTAGTGTATTGTGTAGTGTTTCATCCATGATGTCAATATTTGACTATTAAATAGTTTTGTTTTGACATTTTTTGGGGGGTTTTCAGACTTATTGTTCTTAATTTTTTTTTCCTTCTATCTCCTCGTTTTCTTAAATGTTGTTTCTTATTTAATGTTTTAATACTAATTGGTGAATGTGGTGTGTGTGTGTGTGTGTGTGTGTGTGTGTGTGTGTGTGTGTG